TATTAGGCTTCTCAAATGAATTAGGTGTATGAACTACAGCTTTGACTATTAGTATAATGTGTGCCTATACTTGGACTAGCAACACTACAGACATTTACATTTAGTTTGATGTGTTGAATTCATGCATAGAAACTTGATTTATTCGAAAAAATAGTAATGTTTTTTTTACATTTGAGGAAGATGTGGGCACAGAATAAGAAATTTGGAAATCTTACAAGGTAACGTTTATTTTTTCCACCACCTGTTAGTCAACGTACACGATACTTAGCCTGAAAGAGAACGAATAGTTGTACTATGTTCCAATCTTTTCGAATAATTGCACCATGTTTCAGTCTTTTCCACCAAATGAGATCATTACTAAAATGAGATGAATAATAATATAAATTGTTGTTACCTTGAGTGTGAAATTGTGGATAGATGAGAAAGAATAATATAAGTTGTTGCTATCTGAATTTTGAACGTGACACTAGTGCAGAAAGAAGAAAGAACTTTAAACGTATGTTATTTTGAGCTTTTAAAATCTGATTTCTGTCTGACGTCTATATGGGTGACGTTAATGAGACGTCATACCCTTTAAGTTAGACGTCGAACCCTTTAGGTCAAACGTCTCTATAGACGTCATATAGGTCAGACGTCTATATAGACGTCGGACCTATATTGGTCGGACGTCTATATAGACGTCGGACCTATATTGGTCGGACATCTACATAGACATCGGACCTATATTGGTCAGACGTCTACATAGACATCGGACCTATATTGGTCAGACGTCTACATAGACGTCCGATCCATACAGATTAGACATCTATGAGGTTGCTCCTGACTCATGGTGATTCTAGTTTACAACTTTATATTTTAGTTGAAGAGAATGTATTGTACATTTTTTTTTATTGGATGGTTTTAAAAACGTAGGGGAGGGAATTTGAGGAGTACAATACGCAAGAAATCGCCACCAAAGAACGCTTTCCAAGGACACGAGAATAATTGCACCAAAATCCAACGAAAATGCATTTTAATCGGTTCAAATGAAAGATAATGCATCAAAGAGTGATGTAATCGGAGTAAAATTAATTTAAAACGGTGCAAAAGTGAGAAAGCGAACCTGAAAAGCGTAACCCGTAGAGAGAAAAAGCGACGAAGATGATGAACAATGAGTGCGCGTAACAGTTGTCTCGCGTTCACGGTGTTCTAATTACGTCGGATCCCCCAATTAAAAAACGTCTAAAGGGCTTTAGAAGTCGGAGTGGCGCGATCAGACGTCTAAATGGAGTCAAAAAGTAACTTTTTAAATTTCTAGGTTTAGGGTTTAGACGTCGGTTCCCCCAATTAACAGACGTCTAAAGTGCTTTAGAAGTCGGAGTGGTGGGATTGGACGTCTAAATGGAGTCAAAAAGTGACTTTTTAAATTTCTGGGTTTAGGGTTTGGACGTCGGTTCCCCCAATTAACAGACGTCTAAAGTGCTTTAGAAGTCGGAGTGGCGTGATCGGACGTCTAAATGGAGTCAAAAGTGACTTTTTAAATTTCTGGGTTTAGGGTTTAGACATCGGTTCCGCCAATAATAGACGTCTAAATAGAATAAAAAATTATTTTTTATTAACCTTTTCGTTTAGTTTTGGCGTGTATTTGGGGGAGCAGATGTATATGAGTATTTAGACATCGGGCCCCTCCATAACCGATGTCTAAATAGTTGTTTTATTTACGAAAAATGTCACCGATCATTTTTTACGTTGAATATTCAAGAGTCATACGTCTAAAAGGTGACGTTAAAAGTCTTTCTGCACTAGTGTGAAATTGTGAATATGGATAAGATTTTAATTATTGAGAGAAAGAGAGATTCATCTTTCATGAGTTAACATCTTAGAATAAGTATGAAATGAGAAATTCTTGAAAAGTATTAATATTTATATGATCAATACAGATTATCTGTCTATATCTCTATTAAAATCATATTTATTTAAAAAATATAATAACTATATAATAAATAGTAACAAAATAATAAATAATAACTAATATAACAAACTATCACTATTAATCGTAATATAAAAAATATCCAAATAGATATAGATTTGAAATGTTTAATAACGAAAAACTTTAAAAACTTTATTAATCCATCAATAAAAGAAAGGGTTAAATATGTTTTTAGTCCCTAAACTATTGGCTTTTTCTGGTTTTCGTCCCTCTTTCAAAGTAAGGTACAATTTGGTCCTCATTCTTTTCGAAAACGTTCGTTTTAGTTCTCGAAAACTAACACCGCTTAAAAATTTGGTTCTCATTAGCAACAAAATGAGGACTAAAACCAAAGTTCCGAGGACTAAAACGAATTTCGAAAAGAATGAGGACTAATTGTACCTTACTTTAAAAGAGGGACGAAAATCAGAAACGACCAATAGTTTAGGGACTAAAAACATATTTAACCCTAAAAGAAATATGGTAAACATTTACCAAAACCCATCAAAAACATTTTTTAAAAACTAAATGTCTTAAATTTTAACCATATCAATTGAAAAATAATTTATTAAAGTTGAATGTAAAACCATGAGTTATATACATTATTGGACTGTCTCAATGTCATCAATCAAAAATATTGACTAACACATCTATTAGTTTTGGCCAATGTTCATGGAGAGAATATTAACAAATGTTAAATAATGTTTGAAAAAATAACCATGGTTGACATTGACCTAAAACCAACCTATATTGACATCAACATTAATAGAAAAGTACCAATAATATTTACAAAATAATTATTAATAATGTTGGTTGAGAAATAACATTAACCTATTCTAATATTGAAATACTTTGAAATTATTTCCCCTCTTTTGCAGAAAAAATCACGAACTCACATAAAGTTTATTGTTTCAAAGTCATCTATGCAATTTCATCCTCCCACTCCTTTCTTTGAAGCTATTTGATAATTTATTTTTACACTTTTATTGTAATTATAATTTCTCCTCATAAAATTCGTAACAGCTTGACTTTTTATTCTCAAAGTAATCTGTCAAGAGAGAGGAAATACCACAAATTTATTAAACTAATTTATTTTATTTGAATTTTCATATTACTTCAAAATCAATAAAAATGAAAATTTTCTTTAAGAGACAAGTATACAAAATAAATTAAATTATAATATACATTTATATTTTAAAATATATAATTTAATTAAAATTTTGAAAAAAAAAATAATATTACTCGTGTTCCAAGTCATTTAAATTTTAAGTACTTAGAATATAACATGTATAATCAATTCAAAAACCAAATTGAACTACTACTGAACCAGATCCCAAATAAAATAAGATTTAAATTTAAGCATATAACAAAAATATCATCAAGAACAATAAATTCTTTAATTGCTAAACAATTTACAAAACACATTGATCTAACATTAAATATCTCAACAACCAAAATTTCACACAATCTTAAAGATTTTCCAAAATAAAAAAACTTTCTCAAATCATACAATTTTTTTTTTGTCAGATATACAAAACCATTCCTCAAATAGAACTCACTTTACAACCCAAAACAGGAATACAAAATCAAAACTAGCTTTTATGCAGCATTGAAAAATAACTTCCCAATTTATAAGTGACACATCAATTTTCGCTAAGCTCACACCCCACTTAGAGTTTTATGTTCAACTCACATGAACGTCCTAGCACAAAAAAACCATTCTAATAAAATTCAATAATACTTAATTATTCACACAAAACATGCATCACAGATATCATAATAAATGGAAAGTTACAAAAATTATATAAGAGTCATTAATTTATAAATGGAATCCGAACTTTATAATTTTCTTAGATTTATTAAAATGATATCATTCGTTTAATATAATAAAATATATAATTTTTAATGTAATAAATATTTTTTCACCCGAGTTCATAAAATCTGATAAGTGATTCTAACATGATAGTAATTTTTTTTGTTATAATTATTTGAAATATTATATTTTAATTTTTAAGTATTTTATATTATACACTAATTAATTATTATTAATATTGGATTCTCATTTTATATATTTTACATCCTATTCTCATTTTATATATTTACTGAGAAAGTATTTTGTGTATTGAATGGATATTATTTATAAATACATGAAATTTATTGGGCGTAAATAAAAATAAAAATATTTGGAATGATTAGTTTTATAATTCCTAAAAGTTAAAATAGTTACGGTTTTTGTAACAGTAATATGTTAATATCCCATTATATCCGGTTTGACTATTTAAGAAACTAAACAAAATAAATATTTCATTTCATTTAATGACTAGTTAACGTATAATAATATTAATTTATTTTAATCAATGTATAATAAAGTCAATTTATTTCAATATAAAACGTATTAAACATATCTCACAAAACTCTCTCTCTCTCTTTATATATATATATATATATATATTAATTAAGTAAGGTAAAAAAATAAACACCTCTCTGGATTAAAGCTGTTTATCATAATCATGGGCTCATATACAAATAGGTATTATTTTATCTACAAAAAGTCAAATATATAAATATAATGATTAAAAAAAGATATGAAACATAAGGAAAATGATAATTATTTATTTAAAACATTCCATGAAATAAAAACTAATGTCGATGCATTGTGGAGTACTTACCTATATCATTGTATTTTACTACTACTATTATTAACTGGATATAGAATAATGAAAGTTAAATACTTTACTGATGTATTTTATTGTTGGTATATTATCAGATATGCCATATTGGTCTAATTTGTTACCAAAAGCAGAATTTCTTATATTAATTTTATTTTAAAGAATTTGATTATTCATTAAGTTTATTATTAAACACAATCCTTGTATTAAGAAACATTAAATGATTTATGGGCATAGTTTGGCTCAATTTGAAATGCTCAATAAGGAGAAAAGGTTGACTTGATTTGATAAGTTTTAAATAATAATAATAGTGATATAAGCAAGGGTAAGTATAAAAACCTTGCATATCTCTTAGATTATTGTGCAAAACAAAACTACTCACCAATGGCACGATCCATTTCTCATGTCTTATTTTCACTTGTTCTTTGCATTCTGCTGCAAGATCATATCCAAGCACTCAGACAGGTAAGCTCTGTTGTTCAACAATTTTCTAGTTTTTAGCATTGAAAATGATTCTAAGCTTCTTGTGATGGTAAAACAAAGGGTTACCTAATTAACACATTTTTTATTTTACCATAACATTCGTAATTTTATGTTATTCATGTTTTTTTTTTTCAGTCGTATATTGTATACTTAGGATCACATTCTTTTGGTCCAAATCCTTCTTTGGTTGATCTTGAATCTGTCACAGACTCTCACCATGATTTCCTTGGATCTTACCTGGGAAGGTAGAGATTTTATCCCAACTCTATGAAATACTTGTCGACAAAACCAATATAGATTGATTACATGTTTCTTTTTTTTTTGAAAGCATCGAAAAGGCCAAGGAAGCAATCTTTTATTCTTATAATAGATATATCAATGGGTTTGCTGCAGTACTTGAGGAAGATGAAGCAGCAAATATTGCAAGTATATACATTTATTCTGCAAAATGTGTACTGTGTATTATTTGAGAAACTGTTATTTTGATGGTGTCTAACTGTTGTTTGTGATTGATGCATGTAGAGCATCCCAGTGTCATATCAGTTTTCTTAAACAAAAGGCATAAATTGCACACAACACACTCCTGGAACTTCCTTGGGTTAGAAAGAAATGGTGCGTTTCCACCTCAGTCAGTATGGCGGAAGACTAAGGGTGAAGATGTCATTATTGGAAATATCGATACAGGTAAATGACAATTAATCAAACACTTTATTTTTTTGTTACATTTATAAATTATTAAAATAAAAGAAAACATATTATTGCATAAAAAAAGATTATATATTTATAATATATAATCTGTACTGATTTTAATTTAAATTTAACTGTCATGATAAATACAATATTACAAAAAATATGCCTGAAACAAGGACACTACAGTTTTCAGGAGTTTAAATGTTTTGTAAAAGCTTTACCCTATTAGGGAATTATCAGTCAGAGCAATTATGAATTTCAAGTTACAGTTAATTTTTATTTTAATTATTTTAAATAGTAACTCTTTAACAGTTAAATTAAGGAAAAACAAAGATCGAGATAAGTTACTAAATGCTTTGACATTTTTAATGAATCATAATCAATCTTCAATTTTCTGTTGCTGTGTGACGTGTGATAGGTGTTTGGCCTGAATCCAAGAGTTTTGGTGATGAAGGGTTTGGACCCATCCCAAAAAGATGGCGTGGAATCTGTCAAACGGAGGATAATTTTAAATGCAACAGGTTCATTCATTTTGTACCCTAACATCTTTAGTTTTAATCGTGTTTAATATTTGAACTGATTTACATATGTAGGAAGCTTATTGGAGCAAGATACTTCTACAAAGGCTATGAGGCATTTATTGGTAAAAAACTGAATACGTCGATAGTTAGTGCACGCGACCACGATGGTCATGGTTCACATACTTTATCAACAGCTGGTGGTAACGCTGTTCCTGGAGCTAATGTTTTTGGGTTTGGCAATGGAACTGCAAGTGGTGGATCACCAAAAGCTCGAGTTGCAGCCTACAAGTCGTGCTGGCCTCCGGGATGTTCTGATGCAGATATTCTTGCTGCTTTTGAGGCTGCCATAAGTGATGGTGTGGATGTGATTACCATGTCTGTGGGTTCAGATAGTCCACCTGAGTTTTATCAAAGTGGTATATCTATAGGGTCCTTCCATGCAGTTTCCCACGGCATAACATTGGTGGCTTCTGGAGGAAATTCAGGACCTATTCTTGGATCTGTGTCCAACATTGAACCGTGGACTCTCACTGTTGGAGCAAGCACAATCGACAGAGACTTCGTTAGTAATGTTATACTTGGTAACGGGAAAATCTTCAAGGTATGCTGTTTACACATACAACCTTGTTTTTGTCTTGTTCTTTTTCGTTTTCAAGGCAGCATTGAAAACCCAAATCATGAGCCACTGACCTACCCTCCTTTTTGTTTTGTTATTGCTAGGGAGCTAGCCTTTCAAGGTCTGGCTTACCATCTAACAAGAAGTACCCATTGATCACCTCTGCTGAAGCACTAACTAAATCGGCATCAGATTCTGTTAACGCGTAAAAATACTCATGATGCCAACTTCATCTTGTAGAAATATTCATGTTTGTGTTGTTCTCTCTTGTAACACAGTCCATTCTTGCAGCTTTTTTTGCACGAATGAGACTCTTGATGCTAGGAAGGTGAAGGGAAAGATATTGGTGTGTCTTCGCGGCGTAAATGGTAGAGTAGAGAAGGGTGTTGTAGCTGCTAGTTTAGGAGCTGTTGGAATGATTCTGGCTAATAATGCGGGCGAAGGTGATGAAATTATATCCGATCCCCATGTGCTTCCTGCTACACATGTTGGCTTTGAGACTGGCAAATACATTTATAGTTACATCAACCGTACCAAGTAATTCTCTTTCTCGTACTTCAACTTTTTTTGCTAGTTTTGGTTTCATGGTTAGGACCTTTTATATAGATACCATTTTATGTCATCGTCAGGTTTCCCGTAGCTTCTATTTCTAGAGTGAGAACAAAACTGGGTACGAAGCCAGCTCCAGTTATGGCTGCATTTTCATCAAGGGGTCCCAATCTCCTCGACCCAGCAATCCTCAAGGTTCAATTTTTCCTTGATGATCAACTCGACCTTTAGTATTTAAATATTAAATAATTGTATGACTGCAATTTTTGCTGTGTGTTTCAGCCTGATATCACTGCACCAGGAATCAACATCATTGCTGCTTATACTGAAGGCCAAGATCCCACAAAACCTGACCAAATAATAACTCCTTACATTGCATTGTCTGGCACCTCAATGTCGTGTCCTCATGTTGCTGGTGTTGTTGGGTTGCTCAAAGCCCTCCATCCTAATTGGAGCCCAGCTGCTATTAAGTCAGCAATCATTACCTCAGGTAAATTATATATGCATGCATAACATTTTTTTCGCTTAATTTTTCGCACACGCTAATTATAAAATTTCATGCATTTTACAGCAACTACAAAAGATAACTCTAGAAGGGTTATCCGAGCTTCATCATTGGAGAAGACAACACCATATGACTTGGGTGCAGGCCACATTCGACCTAATCGTGCTGCATACCCCGGACTTATATATGACCTAAATACTACTGATTATTTAAACTATTTGTGTGGTCGTGGCTACGACAGTTCCCAGATTATGTTGTTCTACGGCAAGCCTTTCACTTGTCCGAAGTCCTTCAGTTTAGCAGATTTCAATTACCCAACAATCACGATTCCTCGGATTGAGTATGGACAATCTGTGAAAGTTTCTCGAACAGTTACAAATGTTGGGTCCCCAAGCGTGTATAGAGTTCGCATTGAGGCGCCACCAAACGTTGCAGTTTCTGTTGATCCTGCGGAACTAAAGTTCAAGGAAAAGGGTGAGAAAAAAGAGTTTCGAGTTTCATTGACCTTGAAGTCCAAAACTGAGAACACCACTGATTTCGTATATGGGTCGTTGACATGGACTAATCACAAGAACCGCGTTAGGAGTCCAATTGTAGTTGTCTTGAATAGTTTCTGAGTTTGTGTTTGTATTTTATCTTTGCAATAATGGTTCTGTTGAACAATCGAAGCTCTCCGGAATCTTAGAAGAGAATGTATCAACCATTGATAATATTCATCAGTTGTTTAAGGTTACACGCTTCAGGAAGATCTAGTGAATTATTTCAATCAATGTTAGATTTAAAACGAGGCGTAAACATCCTTTGCAGTGTTCGTCAGTCCTTCCTGCAAATTGTGTTGGACGTTTTATTTATGATTTTGGGTTTTTGCACCAAACTAGGCAAATATGCCTTCTTTATTATCAAAATAGATAAATTTTGACCCAAAGTGAAGTCGTGAGGGGACAAAACGACTTCAATTGAAGAAGTCGTGTCCCTGCACGACTTCACACTGTTCATATGTACAGTATTGAAGTCGTGCACCCAAAAACGACTTCTGGGTATGGTAATCGATTATCACATGTTGTAATCGATTACCATACCGTTTTAATAAAAAAATATAAAAAAAAATTGAAATCGTAGGGGATTCACGACTTCAATAAGAGAAATCGTGCACCTCCAACACAACTTTACTTTCTTTTAATTTTTAACTTTTATTAATTAAAATCATTTATAATTTATAAAAAATATTTTTAAATGTATTTAAAATAATTAAAATTATAACTAATTAATAATAAAAAATTTCAATATTATTAAATAAATAAATTTCATACTTAATTATTTTTGTAATTAAATTAAATTTTTTATAAAAGAATTTCAATTAAATAATTTATAACTATAATTATTATAATTATCTAATTAAAAATTAAAAAAAAATATATATTTTATTATAATTTATTTATTTTAATATTAATTATAATAAAATATACTATAATAATTAAAATTTTAAAAAAATAAATTATAATGAAATATAAATGTTTTTGAATTTTTAATTAGATAATTATAATAATTATAGTTATAAATTATTTAATTAAAATTCTTTTATAAAAAATATAATTTAATTACAAAAATAATTAAAAGTATAAAATTTATTTATTTAATAATATTGAAAAACTTTAATTATTAATTAAATATAATTTTAATTATTTTAAATACATTTAAAAATATTTTTTAGAAATTATAAATGATTTTAATTAATAAAAGTTAAAAATTAAAAGAAAGTAAAGTTGTGTAGGGGGTGCACGACTTCTCTTATTGAAGTCGTGAAGCCCCCCTACGATTTTCAATTTTTTTTATATTTTTGTATTAAAAACGGTATGGTAATCGATTACAACATGTGATAATCGATTACCATACCCTAAAGTCGTTTTTGGGGTGCACGACTTCAACCCTGGTCAAATGAACAGGGTGAAGTCGTGCAGGGGGGACACAACTTCTTCAATTGAAGTCGTTTGGGCCCCCACGACTTCCCCATTTTCGTAATTTTGGTTGAATTTGCCCATTTCGGTAATATTAAAGGCAAATATGCCTAGTTTGGTGCAAAAACCATGATTTTGTTTTACAAATAAGACCTATAAGAACAGTAGTTCCGTGATTTTAGCCATGATACATGCATGGGTTAGTTAGTTGCTTTGTTTCTCTGTAACGGCTAATGCCATTTATTTCATTGGATAAATCAAGCTTAATAGTTATTCTTCACACATACATATATTAGAACTAAACACTGGTACCACAGCCCATACACGGGCCTGATATTCAGAAAACAAAACATCATGCTTGACAACAACTTTCTTAGCATTCCTAGGTTTGATGTTGATTATGATTACTGGTCCATGCTAATGGAAAACTTGGTGGAGCAAGGCTATGAAGAGCCTAAACTATTGGAGTCACTCACTAGAGGAGCAAAAGCTAAAGGACTTGAAAGCAAAGAATTACAAAAATATTCTAAAGACAATCACCGACAAAGCAACATCGAAAGTACTTTGGGATTCAGTGAAGCAGAAATATGAGGGCTATACATGAGTTCAACGAGTTCAACTTCAAAGGCTTAGGAGGGAGTTTGAACTTCTTGAAATGCAAAAAGTGGTGAATGCGTGAATGATTATATTTCTAGGGTGATGATAATTGCCAATTATACGATAAGAGAAGGCGAGGTCATGGAAGATGGACAAATCGTTGAAAAGATTGTACGCGCATTCTTTCACAAGTACAACTATATTGTGTGCTCAATTGAGGAATCTAAAGATATCAATGAGATGATAATAGACGAGTTACAAAGTTCGTTGCTTATTCATGAATAAAAGATAAAACCACACGACGTAACTAAACAAACATTAAAGGTTACATAGGATTTTCTTCTTTACGTACTGAGGAACAATTCAACACCAGAGGTAGAGGACGTGATAAAGGCAGGGGCAGAGGAAGAGCGTTTAATAATTCCATTGTTGAATGCTGATCTCATATGCAAACTATATAGAACACACCAACCTTGACGAGGGAGAAGAAATGTTACTTATGGCATATGAAGATCTACAAAGGAGATGTAGTAATATGTTTTGTGATTTTCTTTCTTTTTAGAAGTGTAATGTTGTCAATTTAGCCTAGTTTACAATGTTTGAACTTGACCTACATGAATCAAACCAAAAAGGCCTATAGGAGTAAAACGACCACATAGAAAAGGTAAGGGCATATTTGCAACTAAAGCGCAATGGGCCAGGACCAACATGGTTAGTGTGTGCGAATCGTTGGTCTAAGTTAACTAGGTCGTTCAAGTTAGGTCCAAGACGGGTTGCGTCTAGGTCAAGTCAAGATTGATAGAGTTTGAGTTTTCCAGACCAAAGAATTGAGACAAGTTGGTCTAGGTGAAAGGTTGTCATGAGTCAGACAGGCCGAAGGTTGAGCCAAGTTAGCCTTGGGAGTTAGCTTGGGCTGAAAGATCAAGCTAAGCTGACCCGAGTCGAAGAATTGAGCACAACAAGCCTAAGTCGAAAGTTGAACAAAGTCGGTCTGGGTTGAAGGTGGAGTGGAGTCGACCAAGCCAAATTTCAAGCCAAGCTAGCCTAGGCTAAAGGAACAAAAGGTCTAGAGGATGATTGTACCAGTAGGGACCAGACATCTACACAACCGAGCACACGGTTTTGCTGCCATCGAAGGATAGAGGCATCAAACCGGACGCACCGAACGCCAAGTAAGGACCGGACGTCTACACAACCGAACGCGCGATTTTGTTGCCATTGAAGGATAGAGGCATCAAACCGGACGCACCGGACGCCAAGTAGGGACCGGACGTCTACACAACCGAACACGCGGTTTTGTTGCCATCGAAGGATAGAGGCATCGAACCGGACGCCCATACATCCGGGATTGCAAGATTTACCTCATCATCCGGCCACACTATGAAGGTCGGCCACACTATGGAGGCCGGACACGCCGTGTTACACATGACACCCATAAGGGTCGGCCGATCCAAGAGTCGAACTAAGGAGACCGGCCGGCCATACCGCTAATTAGTCAGGTTTAAGGTAAGTTGAGGTTAAAAGCTATTGGGCTGAATTTGGGCCGTGATTAATTTTTCACTAATCCCAAGCCCATAGCGAAAACTATAAATACAGATCCAGGGTGAGTGGTAGACAGGTAGCATTTACTGCACATTTATTACTGTTCGATAGAAAAACGCCATTGCTCTCAACTGACTTTGGCATCGGAGAATCTTTCGCAGGTCTCCCACCCGCGGATTGAAGAAGAAAATTGAGGAACGAGTAAGGAGGACCGGATATACGAAGGACGAGTGGAGGTGAACGTGGAGATATCAGACGACACAGCCCTACACATCCGAAACAATGATCATAAAGCACATTGCGTGTATGATATAATATTAAACATTTGTTTCATACAATTGGCTAAGCTACTGTACATCGTTTAGCAGAGTTAATGTTTAGACGTTTTATCATTTGTTCATGCGCTATATCTTTTGTTCAAACATTAAATGTTTAGACACTCTATTAAGAGTTCTATAGCGTTTAGCATTTTTTGTGTCAATGCATTAGACGCGTTTGAGATATCAGATATTCATATATCATTTGATAGCGTTTAGCATTTTACAAATGATTTGTTATGTCAAACGCTTAGTGGCTTAACACGTTTGGATATTAAATCTTAAGCATAAACTTTTAGCTCAACGTTCACTTGAATGTTTTCATTATGTTAGATGTTGTTTGCTAATTGGACACAATTTACTTAAAACACTACATTCATTTTAAATGTTTATCTCGTTCAATACTTTGGATAAACAATTATATTTGATAAACACTTATTTCATTCAATATTATTCTTTAACACATACAATCATTAGACGCTACATTCTATAAAGAATATTTTGTTAAGTATTATTTGTTAAACTTCAAAACATGATTTACTAGACCGTTTTGTATCTCTAGACGATCTTATCTTAACATTTAGCATTTAAATATGATTAAATAATATCATGATTCTACAATTTCAGCTTGGTTGGAAGCATACCCTAACCTCACTAAAAATACTATGATTCCACAATTCCAATTTGGTTGAGAGTTGGTCGTAACCTAACTAAAAAATACTACGTTTCTACAATTCCAATTTGGTTGGAAGCATGTCGTAAAAAATACTATAATTCTACAATTTTAGCTCAGCTGGTCATAACTTGACTACAAAATACTACAATCCTATAATTCGAACTCAACTAGGAGCAGGCCATAACCTGACTAAAAAATACCACCATTCTACAATTTCAACTCGATTGGGAGCAAGTTGTAACCTTATTAAAAATACTATGATTCTACAATTGTATCTCAATTGGGAACAGGTTGTAACATGACTAAAAAAGTACTATGATTTTACAATTCCATTCTGGTTAGGAGCATGTCGTAACTTGATTAAAAAGTACTATGATTCTACAATTTCAACTCGGTTGGAAGTATGTTGTAACCTGACTAAAAAAATACTACGATTATACAATAAAATACTATGATTCTACAATTCTAGCTTAGTTAGGAGTAGACTGTAACCTAACTAAAAAATACTACAATTCTAGCTTCGTTGGAAACAGATTGTAAGTTGACAAAAAAATATTACAATTCTACAATTCTGGCTT